GAACGATGGTTTGATCCAGGCTCTCCAAATCTCCGAACTCTCCACTTCCTTCTTCTTCCAGACAGACTTGTGAAGCAGCCGTCTCTTGACCTCTTCTATCTTCTCCAGAGAGGCGTAGCACACTTTCACGGTTGCGTTTAGGACTGACTGTTCCATTGCACTGGACAACGCTTCCTTTCTTTTCCTCTTCTGTTTGGAAGACGCAAAATATACAACTCAAATTAAGCGTGGATTATTTGAAACACGGGTTAACAAGAACAAGTTGCAGGCATGTTTACATAAAAACACAGTGCGTATCTGGACTTGCTTATGGATTTCATTTCATCTCGATGCTCACCGCACTGTTGTGTTGTGCTTCTTTTTCTGGACCGCTCAACCTCTCCTTGATGCTAGCAGGGGCGAAAACTCATCACAACTTCCCGTGTCGTCTGCAGGCTTCCAGCTTACCGACAACCCGCAATCTGTACGAGAGAGAGAGAAACAATTACCCATCAAGCTGGAAGAGGCACACACAGTACACCCTGACAACCAGAACACTTCTACTACTAAGAAACTACAAAAAGATGTGGCTTCATTTTTAACTGAGATTATCTTGCAAAGGGTAAACTGAGTAAACTATACTGAGTTTACGTTAGTAATCCATCCCATTGGAAGAAAGAAGACATCTTAAAGAGCCCATATTCTGGCCTTTTGGGGTTGTATATTTAGATCTATGTACCTGCTTTTGTTCTTTTACAATAGTAAAGTCAAAGTGTCGTTTTATGTACTGCTCCTCCTTGCTCCCTCTACGCTCTGAGTCCATCAGCTACACTCTGTTGAGCCCACACTGTTAGACCCCACGTGGGCCAAGTCTGCTCTGATTGGTCTGCCGATCCGCTCTGTCGTTATTGGTCAGTTGCTCAGCACGCTTCTGGAAATTTCAACATGAGCTGCAGGGCTTGCCACAACGAGCCAATGGGCTTAGATCAGTGATCTCACACTGACAATGACGCCCACTGACACATTTTAATCGAGGGGGCTAGAACGAGCGTTACATGCAGCTAATGCTACAGCTAACAGGAGGAGGTAGGAGAAGCTGCGTTTCTGCAGACTTTGAATTTTTGCACATAGATGTGCTAAACATGCACAGGACACTTGGAAAACACACTAAAGAGCATATAAAACCAGGAAAGCAGAATATGGGACCTTTAAAGACGGTTTGGGGGAAGCATCACCGTGCAACACGCTGACATGCAGAGTGAAAAGTAAAGAATCCTGTGATGCACCCTTACATACCTATAACAAATGTTTCTAGACTTTAAAGGCCTTTACTGTTACAATGAATTTGCAACTTCAAATGAAAAAATTATAAAGTTTGGTGAAAAAAAGAACTTTTCAAGTCTTCACCCTTGGCAGAAAAGCAGCATTACTCTTTAATGACTTTGAACCAACTCTATCAACGCTTCAACTAAAACTCTGATGCTATAACAGAAAGTAACAACGTTGAATAAAAAATAATAAAAATATCTTCAGTAGCAGAGAGCAGCGTTTAATCAACAATTGTGCTTGTATTTCTCCGTGTTTGTTTACACACCTACAACTTCAGCAAACTTGTAGTCCTCTCCGTTGTCCTTGCCAATGATCACGTCCTCCACGTCTTTGTTGTCTTCTTGGTCCTTTTCTTCCTCTTCAGCGTTTTGTAACTTCTCCTTACTTTTGACCTGAAAATGTGGAAAAAAAAAACACAAATATCTGAATGAGAAAAAAAACAACTCATTTACAGTAAACCCACATGAAGGAGTTAAAAAATGATTTGATGAAGAAAAACAAATGTACAAAAACATATCTGACTAAGAATCTCAAGTTGTTCCACATTTTAGTGTGTCACTATGCCAAATAAAAACACTTCGCTTTCTGCTTGGAAAATAAGCAGAGCCAAAGATTGAGTCAGCTGAGCCAAACGCCATTACAAAGTAATTTCTCCTTCAACAACAAATAGACTAAATGACTCTTGTAAAGAAAACCTCTTACTGGTTTTGTGTCTTTTCCGATTCATTATTCACAGGTCTATGAGAAACATCCACACTAAGCTGCGGTAAGTTTACTAGAACAGCAGCATTTGTGAGCCAAAGTGCGAGCCCACACAGAAAGGAAGCAAACAGAGTTTTCATAGTAAGTTGTATTTTCTGACTCATCAGTTATAGCGAGGCACTTAAAAGTTACACGTCCCTGTTTCTCTTCTCGCGGCTGTCAGCCTCTGGGAGTTTATGTTATTGCAGAGTTGCAGCAGGCCCACAATAAGAAAGACGATCTGTACAGAAGCCAAAGGAGGAACTGGCAGCCACTTGGCAATATGTCTTCAAAATATGTCTGATAGTTATGACTAGTGGTGCAACTAATCAAAGTTATAAGTGATACATTCAGACCGCATGTGATCTGTGGACCGATGGAAAATTGGTCTTCATGGTGCAAAATAAATGTACTGCTGCTAAATCCCTGTGCAGAGTCTCAGTGAGAAGATGACAGTAGTGCATGTAGGCGCCATGGAGAGCCATTGCAGAAACAGGAAGAAAATTCAGTCTTTGTGAAAAGTACTTTAAGCAAGTTTTTCAAAATAAAAGGGTTGTAAAGTCTTGATATTTTGTTGTGTGCTTTTTGTAAACTGTGCTTTGACTGTTCACTCTCACTGTAGCTGTTTTCACTTATAAACTCCTGAAAATATCTTGATCATTTCAGGCTGTTTTCATACACACATACAGCTCCTCCTGGAGGAGTTTTCTGCAAGTGTGAAAGCCCTAAGTGTCTTTATCATGATAGTGTCAGCTGGTGGTTGCGTAAGAAAACAATCAGTATCTTAAGGTCAGTGAGGTTATCCTGCAGCCGTCTGTATCTGTAAACTTAGCCAATCAAACTCTAACAGAGCTCTGTGTTCGGCTCCAAAATACTGAAGATATAGTCCCTAAACGCATGCTTTTGTCTGACCCACGCAACCCGAGATACAGATGCATCCTGGGCAAAGACACACACATCTGCTTAATGAATGGTGTGTGTATGTTATGTATTCAACCTCTTTTTTTAGTGGATTACAGCAAATGTGTTTTTCACAGAAAGATTTCTATTTGTTATGTTAATTTCTTTGTTTGGGGGTAACAAATACTGTTATTAAAACGATGCAGCTTTAAATATAGAATGAGATTATTTTAAATACCGATCCAATCCGTGACATATCATTTTTAACAGTGTATTCCTACCTATTAGAGGATGAGGAGGGGGTCTTCTGGTTGCATTTAGGGGTTACACTCTTGTTTTTACCAGTCCTGGCCTCAGTCTGACTGGACCTGGTTTCTCTGCATATCATGGTTTCCTCTCTGCTCCCTCCGCTCTCTCTCCCTGCACTTGACAGGTGTCCGCGATTTTCCGACGCACGACTCTGTTTTATCCTTTCCAAATAATCCTTGCCGTGTTCTGTCTGTAGGACATCTGGCAGGACCAGACGGGGCTTCCTCCTAAAAGACAACACAGGGTAGAAGACATTCACAACCTTCTTTAGACGGCATCTTCTCTGCAACATTGAGCTTCCTTTGAGCAAATGTCACTCATAACATCTCTCTCATTACAGGTCAAACTTTATATGAACCAGCTGACTGGGAGGGAGGGGTGGGCAAGGCTCCTGGTGGAGATAAGCCATGTGCAGAGTCATGATAAGCTTCCCCCCCGGTGCATCTACGCAGAGTTTCTTTTTAACTTGAACAGCTGAGCTCAAAATAAATACAGACCACACATACAAGAGACATACGCTGAAAACGTACAAATAGTTTCTGTCTTTGCTGCTTGGGAAAAATAAGAACATAAAACTCTTTCATATTAGTTGCTTGCTTAGTTGCCGACCTCATTTTGATAAGTCGTGCAACTGAGATGATTTCGATTTAATTGCTTCATCTGTCGTGTCATCATGTCATGACTGCGGAGATAAGCTGCCAAAGATTTTCATTCCAGTATTGCAGCGATATAAAATAATGGCCATTTTATAGCTGAACAGTTAATTCAATAATGTTAAAAAATAATAATAGTAATTACGAGAGAGAAGTGTTGCAAGTACAAAGCACTGTATCTACCAGTTTATCCACCATGAACACTGTAGAATTAAACTAAACCATTCACTCACTTCATGTGTTATGAGTAAAACAGTAAATAAGGCCGACATGTGTGATATATAAATTAAAACTAAACAAGGAGTTTAGGCTCTGTGGCTGTACATTTAGGCAAAACCTTTGCTATTACATATTTTACTTATTTCATAAACTGGGAGAGACGGTACGAATGTGCACATATAAAATACAAAGAGCTCAATTACAATAAACAGACAATTTATACAGGAACATAGTTAGGAAGACTGCACTTCATTTTTAATAGACGATGAGACGATCCAGCAATGTGAAGGGAAGAGTAGAACACTAAATTGTTATTTAGTCTAGTTATTATTTTTTATTTTTTCATGGTTTTTTTTGTTTATTATTTTAAATAGTTTGTATTGTGTTTGTTTATTTGTTTTCTTCTGTACAGCATATTGAGTTTACATTTGTATGAAATGTGCTTGACAAATAAAACTGAATTGAATTGAATTAAATGTAAAGATATGATCAACATGATATAATAAAGCAGCGCAGTGCCAACAAGTGTCATGTTCATGAGAAAAGACAGTTCTTACTCTCACCGTTCTGTTTCTTCTGCTGTCTCTTACTACATAAACTGTGTGATCTTTCCCGTATTTCCATGCATACTTATAATTCAAGATCAATGCCTCCACATGCTGAAAATAAGCGAGGAGAGCTGACCAACGAGCAGATGTCGAAGTTTATTAATGCAGACTTACTTGGCAATTAACCCCATTCTTATTGTGAGTGGCAGAACAATGACCAGGTATTGAAATCAACAGTCAATAACTTGTTAAGGCTCTTCAATAAAGCTCTCTAGTGAGCGCCTGCTTACCTGCCCATGACAGCGAGGATGTGATCGAAATTTTGGATCCATTTTTATGCGGCGAATCCAGCTGTCCGAGTTTACAACCTGCAAACGCCGTCCAGGACACCTGCTACAGGGAAATAGACAAGGCAGTGAGAATTATAATGAATTATTAAGCCTGTTTCCACCACAACATTTTTTTCATGGGGTCAGACAGAGAGCAAGGATTTTTTTTTTTTATACCTGTCTTTCTAACTTTCCATAGTCTGGTGAAGACATGTCATGGGAATTCTGAGTGGATTTTCCACCTACAATTCACAGGGTAGTTAGTGACCATGCTTGGTAAAACATGAAGTTAATAAAACAGCCACAAGCTTACAAACTACTCATTAGACGTGCAAAAGGAGCGAGTGCAAACAGCAAAGCATTGATGTTTAATTCACCACACTGAGGTTATTTGTCATTGTGTTAACAAGCAAGGAGATGGAGTTATTCAGCCAGCAGGTATAGAAAAAGGTGGTTGGCAAGTAATGTCTTTGCAACTATTCAAATAACTGAGTCATCTTTTTCATTTAGTTTTTAGGCAGATAATATAAAATCGCCTTGTTCCTATTACCAAGTAGTGTCTCCTAAACGGTAAACCTATTGTTTCTGTTTGTCACTATTCCACAGAATTTTTAAAACAAACTCGGGTCCTTTTAGACTGCAAACGTCACCTGTAACTGCCGAAGTAATTAAAATAACAATATGTAAGGATTTTAACTTGTAAATAATCAAATACAAAATAATAGAATTAAAAAATACTTGTATAATAACTTATTTTTAGGCTATAGTTACAGATTTTTATGGAAACTGAGGCACAGCAGTAGTACGCAGCAGGTTTGTGTGGGTACAAATATCTGGATTCCTGCTATTCATGCTTCAGCTTTTTGATCCATTATATAACAACAAGGAAGTGCTCGATGATAAGAAATACAGCAATGTAGCAGTGAGGCGGCCTGCATGTAAGCGACCGCAGAGCAAAGCCAGATCATAGAGAACTTGCAGTCAGCACATCATTAGCAAAAGCTATGATGGCAGCAAAACAGCCAATGCAGTAAATCACAAAGGATGAGAGAGGAATTCAAGATGTGCACTCAAAACTTGTAAGCTCACATATCAAAACAGAAACATTTACCAGGTTATCCTTTTTAACATTAAAAGGAAGAGTCAAGGCTCTTCTTCGCTCCATCATGGTCGCAGATTTGGTAAGGCACAGCAAGAACTCTGCAAGAAACAAATAGAATAGAATGTCTTTATTGTCATTATATATTTGTACAATGACATTATTTGGCTTCACCTTAAAGTGCACACACATACAAGCATCCACAGCTAAAAACAACAAAAGAAGAAATAAATAAAAAAGGAACTCTCATTCAGGTAAGATGGGCAATGTATGGTAGGAGTTATTTACAGGTAGTAGCATAACAGAATATAAATAGATATTGCAGAAATATAAAATAAATATTGCACAGATCGAAATGTAAAATAAATATTGCACAGATCGAAATGTAAAATATTGCAGAAATATAAAATAAATATTGTACAGATCGAAATGTAAAATAAATATTGCACAGATCGAAATATAAAATAAATATTGCACAGATCGAAATGTAAAATATTGCAGAAATATAAAATAAATATTGTACAGATCGAAATGTAAAATAAATATTGTACAGATCGAAATGTAAAATAAATATTGCACAGATCGAAATATAAAATAAATATTGCACAGATCGAAATGTAAAATATTGCAGAAATATAAAATAAATATTGCACAGATCGAAATGTAAAATATTGCAGAAATATAAAATAAATATTGTACAGATCGAAATGTAAAATAAATATTGTACAGATCGAAATGTAAAATATTGCAGAAATATAAAATAAATATTGTACAGATCGAAATGTAAAATAAATATTGTACAGATCGAAATATAAAATAAATATTGTACAGATCGTAATGTAAAATAAATATTGTACAGATCGAAATGTAAAATATTGCAGAAATATAAAATAAATATTGTACAGATCGAAATGTAAAATAAATATTGTACAGATCGAAATATAAAATAAATATTGCACAGATCGAAATGTAAAATAAATATTGCACAGATCGAAATGTAAATACAAAATACAATGTAAAACAAAAACAGCTGTCAACAAAGACAATCCTCATCAACAGGAAAGACAGGTGGTAATTTAGTTGACTCATAGAATCCATTGTAAATCACTAATATCATTAACTTTTATTGACATAAGGTTTAAAGTCTGTGAGGTGACACGTAAACTCCCAAATCTTAAAAAAAAAAAAAACATCACATAGCTGCAGAATTAAACTATAAATTAAAAAGTGACTCATGTAAAAATAAACAACTAACTGTCTATTTCTAAAAGATACCCCGTGCATTTAAACAATTTCAAACGCACCTCTTTAACAGCCACTTGTTTAATGTTTTTGCTGGAGAAACAGAAAGTGAATAAATCAGCGAGCGCTAGCGTTAGCACACTGAGCTAGTCAAAGCTACCTTCTCCATGATGCCATCTAAACACAAGAAAGGTAATGCTTACCCTCGTTCGCAGCTTCCCTCGATACAAACAGAGACTAGAGGAAGATTTTAGGCAGCTGTTTTCAGATGAACGATCTCCTCAGTAGCTTGCAAACACAACAGGAGCTCATTTTAGCTCAATTCAATTCAGTATTTTGGAGGCGCTTCGGTATTTCCTCTCAACATCCGGTGCACAGCGGAAGTGCATCAACGAACTACATCGAAGGCGGACAAGAGGAGAAACGTTGTTTTCCGGTGCAAATTTGAGGAGTTAGTTTTTCTTTTTTATTTCGTTTTGACTTTTTGTTTTTTAATTTCAGTTTAGTTTTTACTAGTTTTTAATGCTGGTTGTACGGAAGAGGATTTGGGCCACATATAAAAAATAAAAAAATAGAGTTCTGACTTTATTCTCAGAGTTCTGACTTTAAACTCAGAGTTCTGACTTTATTCTCAGAGTTCTGACTTTATTCTCAGAGTTCTGACTTTAAACTCAGAATTCTGACTTTATTCTCAGAATTCTGACTTTATTCTCAGAGTTCTGACTTTATTCTCAGAGTTCTGACTTTAAACTCAGAATTCTGACTTTATTCTCAGAATTCTGACTTTAAACTCAGAATTCTGACTTTATTCTCAGAATTCTAACTTTAAACTCAGAATTCTGACTTTATTCTCAGAATTCTGACTTTATTCTCAGAGTTCTGACTTTATTCTCAGAATTCTGACTTTATTCTCAGAGTTCTGACTTTATTCTCAGAATTCTGACTTTATTCTCAGAATTCTGACTTTATTCTCAGAATTCTGACTTTAAACTCAGAGTTCTGACTTTAAACTCAGAATTCTGACTTTAAACTCAGAATTCTGACTTTAAACTCAGAACTACGGGTACCTGTAAGGACCAACTCCAGTGGATAGTCACTGTGCAGGACTGAATGTTACTCATTTTGCATTTCATAATTGTCCACACACTTCCTTCAATATAAATGCCAGCGGACTAATATCTTTCTTACATTTGTGTCCAATATGAATGATAATAAAATGCTTTGTAACATTGTCAAAATGCTGTTTTTTTAAACCTTATTTATCCTATCTCTTTTTACCTATATGGAATGAGGGGCTTCATCAACATTCAACTTAAGAACTGAATGTAAATGTGGTGAAAAGAGTAAGTTGGCTACTCGTTTAAGCATTTCCATAGTAGTTTACACAAAAGTTTCACCTGGGTGCTACATCGTCTTGCAACTCAAAAAACAAAAATACAGTATCATTAAACTATAACTGTGATAACACACAGCAGTGACAAAGCATGCCAAGGTTTTTGCTGCTGTTCCCCACTCCAGTATGCTCCAGTCAGTCCTGCACGGTCCTGCACAGTGACTATCCACCGGAGTTGGTCCTTACAGGTACCCGTAGTTCTGACTTTAAACTCAGAATCCTGAGTTTAAAGTCAGAACTCTGAGAATAAAGTCAGAACTCTATTTTTTTTTTATGTGTGGCCCTAATCGTCTTCCGTATTGTTGCTAGTTTAGTTCCGTTTTTATTTTATGCTTAGTTTTTAGTTAAATATTTGTTTGTTTTTTTTGTCTCTGTATCATAAGTGGTTCAGAGACATATATCAAGCAAATTCTTTATTGATTAAATTATGAAATATTTTATAAATAACGGAAGATTTAACATCTGCAGTCAGAAAGCTCCTCCAAATTTAAAACTGTACAAATTGACAAATTGTAACGATAAGCTGTGTTTCCCTCAGTATGATTGAGACAAAGATGAAAACTAAGGACATTTCCTCTATTATTTTAGTTTAGTTTGTTTTGTAAACATACATATATACATACATTAAAAAAGCCCTGGTGTGTTAAATAACAATGATGATGGTTGCGTTTAATTTACTTAATAATTGCAAATTTAGCCACCAGGACAAGTCAAAATGTTATCAAAACAGTCTCCTAAACCTCTTTTTTTAAAAGGTTCTCTTTCTGTCACTGTACACAAACGTATTACCAACAAATTGTGAAGTACACAAATATAACCAATACACAATTATTATTATTATTATTATTTTTATTGATACAGCAGGAAAGACATCAGGCCTGCTCAGCCCCTGGAGAGAGGTTGGTGAGTCAGCCTTCAAACACTGCAGTACATAAAAAAAATCTTCTCTTTCACAGAGAAGATGCTGACTAACCCAATAATGTAATGCCATGACCTTCTTAATTTCATTGAGGTGCCTATAGAATCCCCTGAAGCCCAGAGCACACCGACATTGTTACTAATCTTTGTCAATGATACTTGTGGCAGCTGTTTCTTTGTTACATGGTTACTTTGCATCCTCTCTGTGAAAAAGGCCAAAACATGAGCAATTAGGATCGAGACATCAGCCACCTTGGACAACATGGAAACCAGAAAGCAGTGAATTAAGATGTGAAATGAAACCCACATGGTTCTGTTACATATTGTTGATCAGTGCATGTATATTGTCCTGTTTTTAAGTGGAATCATCAAAGGATTATAGTCCTTTAATGCAAAGATGACACATTGTATTTGTCCACCAAGGTGACCACAGCCCCACATGTCCGGCTGCTCCTTAGGGTCAGGAGGAGCCACATTTCTTCACGGCTGTCTCTGAGGATGTTCCCAAACCTGCTGCTCCACCGACTCCTCCAACAGGTCCCGAGCTCAGCCCGACAGCCGGGACATTTCCTCTTGACTCATGTCCTTCTTTCATTTCAGCTAAGAAGAAAAAAGAATCCTATGTCAATCAGTGATGTGTGCAATACAAAGCTCCTCCATAGGCCTACATGGCAACCCCCTCCCCCACACCTCTATTAACCCCAATCTCACTGACATGTTACGACATACTGTTAATCTCACAAACCTGTTACATGACATAATGGTAATCTCACCAACATGTTACATGACATAATGTAAGACTTCAACAGTAATCTCACCCCCCTGTATAAGATAAAACTGCTGCAGGGATCCAAACAGTTAACTGTGTGATCTTCCAAGTCTACAGACCAGTTCAACTCTTTACACTAGAGTTGATACTGAGATCAATTTTGTCTCTCATATGTGACTTGTGTATGCCCGATTGTGTTTATGGATGTATGCATGTTTGTATGTATGTTTATTATTGTTATTTCTTGCTCTCAGCTGTGAACTTTGCTGTTTTTACTTCTTTCCATTTGCCGTGCACCTTAACAGCCTCTGCTTTATCTGGTCTCCTGCACTACATCACTTTATTCTATCCTTTATATATCAGTATTCATACAGCTCTGATTACTTATTCCTGATGTTTCTTATCCATCATTGCACTACGGTCACTTTATTTATCTCATTTTTACCTTTACAGTTATATTGTATATATTAGTTCTGTTGTTCCATTATTCACCTTATTAACTTATCATTTAGTATTTACCCTACTTACACATAGCTCTGTATATATATTTTTTTATTTCTCGTTTACTGCACATAGTTCTGTTTACATCTGTTAGTCCGATCTCTGTCCACTCATATCTACTCTTTTTATAGTTTGTATTTTTAAGTTTAAGCTTTAAGTTGTATTTAAATTCACACTTTATATTTTAGTTTAAAATGTTTCGTACCTGCACTGTTGTTAATTTACTGCTCTGTGTGCCTTTGAATTGCCCCCCAGGGGGACAAATAACGTTTTTTGAATTTGAATTTAAATTAGAATTTTATCAGTTTAATGCATTATTGTGCAAATGTATTATTATGTCTATCCTGCTGCTTCCTCTGCAGGAGTCGTAGTAGTGGTGGTTGTTGTCTTACCTATAGCACTACATGGTGTCAGAATGGGTTTTTCCAGTTGCTCCCCCTCAGCAATGGAAGCCCGGATCTTCCTCACCACGTAGATGCTTGCTGGGAAAAAAAATGAATTTGACACAAGTATAACATTAAATATTAACAATAAACAAACAAATAAACAAAGATTAATATGTACAACACTAAAAAAGACAATAGTGGTGAGTTGTGCAAAAGATCCTGAAATTAACATGATAATAAAGTATGTAGAAGGGTTCATTCACACAAGGCAGATAGTTGTTGTTGTTGTTGTTGTTTTTTACAGTATTAACATTTTACATTAACAGTCGGGTTGTTTAATTAAAGATAAGAAAAACCAAGTCCTACCTTTAATCAGCAGTCAGACCATGTTTGTTTCCCGCTGTAGGCTGTGGATTAATTTCTTCTTCTGTTGCAAAGCAGACGCAGCTTTCTGCGGTGGTCAGCACACGGTTACAAAAGCAAACCCGGAAGTTACAAAATGCGCTTACAATTAGGGGCGGGGGCTTGCAGCTCTGTTCTAAGCTGTGATTGGCTGAGCTGTTGAGCACAACCGATAAGGCTTCGAGCACAACGTGAAGTAATCTTGTCTACAGAGGACAAAGTAATGAGGTTATGAAAAGGGGCAGATATGGGATAGAAAATAGGATTGAAAGAATATCCTGTTTTAAAATATTGTAGTCACTCGATTAATTGTTAAACCTTATTTTATTTATTTTTTTATTTATTTTCTGAATATGTTTTCCTGTCCTTTCGTTTTTCCTGACATAATTCTTAGACATTTTTCTGGCAAAAACATAATAAGGATAAGAACATATGGTACATAATCATGACCGAGTGCACCATCGTGTCCTTTTTAAAGACTTGAAATACTTTAATTAAAACATTACCATTGCATTTAAAATATATTTGTTTGTACATTGCTGACTTATGAACAGTTATAGAAAAAGAACTCGGATCCTAAACTCAAGTAAAAGTAATAAATAAAAGATTCAGATTTTAAATGATTATTCCATATCAACAAGATTGTATGGAATAAGTTTTGGTAAGATCTTTATTTAAAAAAAAAAAAAAGGGATGGCGGGGAAAGATAAACCTCTGACTTATTAGGTAAATTGTGGGGACTATTTAACAAATATATGTAATAAACATCCATATGCATAAAATGATGTATACAGTATAAAATTAGCAAAATACAAATGAATATGATATATCAAAAACATAAATAAATAAAAAACACTGATAAAGCCTTTAGAGATACAACCCTGTTGCACAATTGTCCTGTAGGTCTATTTTTTGACTCTTAAGGAGGTGGGCAGCTTTAGGGTAAATGCTATTCGAGGACATGGATGTTCTGGTTTTAGTGCTTCTTAATTTAAC